CGCTTAAATCCATCATGTCTTCTCCAGCGGGAACAGGAAGAGAGTTTGTTGGCGGTAGAAAGGACGAGCGATTAGCAGGGGCTGGTTTATTCTTAGTATAGTTTGGATTGGAAAATCGGAGCACAGCATCTATATGTCGAACTTCAGCTAGGTATGAATTGAGGTCTGTGGGCATGTTTTGACGTAACAAGACGCAATTCTGAATCTGCGATACAATTAGCGGGTGCAGGGAGTCGTAAAAATGATTTATTAGTGCGTCGTCGGATAAACCTCTCTTCTGAGCAACTTCAAACCAATCAGAGATGTACGAGGAAGTGTCTTTTTGGCCCTGTTTAATAGTAAGGATCTGGCGACGAGCGTTATTACATTCGTCGACATCGCCGAATGTTTGCTCTAGCAACGCCAAAATAGCATCACTGGAGAGAAACTTAACTGTGCCATCTCTATTGATACCATGTGAAATCGTCGAGAATGCTTTCCCTCTGGGGCGAGACACCAAATATACCATCTTTGATTGCTCGGATTGGTACCAATCTCCATTAGCAAGGAACTTCATGTTCATTTTACGGACGAAAATTGGGAGTTCTTTGCGCAGTTCAGGTGTGTCTGCCGAAAAAAAATCTGGGTCCGGGTGTTCAGGTGATCAGGGATGGCTTAATGGGGCACCTATGCCGGTAGCAGCAATTCTTGTTTCTAATTCGTGATACTTTTGTATAAGAAGTGAGTTTTCCTTCAGTGCTTCAGAGCTGGCGGCAACCTACTGTTTCATATGTTGGAGTTTTTGTTGTAGCAAATGATTTTGCTGTTCTAATTGGGTACTGGAATTGGTTAATGAATTCTTTGAATTTTGAAAGTTCTGCACTGTGTCTGTTAGCTCCTGGTTCTTCTCAAGTAGTGTGTCGTAATCATTTTTGTATTGATATAATTGTTTTTCGACAAGTACATAAGAATTAGCTAAAGCCATGATTTCATTGCTTAGTCCTGTAATATTTATTTCTGTATTACCACCTTGCATGGCGGTAATTAAAAGCTGATTGTTGGGGACTGAACAGAGCAGAGGATAGTTCTGGACAAAGGTAGCATCATGATCTCGAAACTCATTCGAGGAAGCAGGTGTTCCTGACCGATATTGTGATGTGACGCCTCCTTCAAGATTACAAGGGTTGTGATCCGTTTTCGTTAAAGATTCTGAGTTCAAATTTAAAATTGGTCAAGTTGGGTGTAAAGTTTTTCATAAGCTAATCTGAGGAGTATTTCTAAAAACGGGAGTTGAATATTACGCACTATGGCAGTAATAATTGTTTATGACCTGGTAGACAATATGTCACAGTAGGGAGTGAGGTGGATGGTGACCGACGATGTCTGATCTGGTGAACTAGATTGTCTACAAAGAGGAAAGAATCTAGTACTATGAAACTTATAATTATTTACGGACGCGTTTAGCGTGCATTTAGACATGTCCATATATCATGTGACTGCTTTGCCTGAACGCCTTGTTTCCTTGACAATTGTGCTTGGAATATAGGCAGCCATAGCTTATAAGCTGACCTACTAGACGACGCACACTTGGCTTGAGAATCTGGTCCGAGTCTCATGCCGATAATTGTTCAAGACTAGATGCTTTGAAATAGGGCATCTTATCCTGTCACAGACTGCGCCTTACATTCATGTACCCATATCTATCTACATATCAGCCGCCGATCAACAATTTTGGAATTATGAGTGATCGCCGATTCGATGGATACGTATCATGTTGGGGCCAGAGTTTCATGTATATATGATCTACAGCCTAGATAGAAATGTTTCCTGGATAATAAACAGATAGACTATTACACGGCCAGATTACTTTTTTCCTATTGTTTTGGTAACAGCCCATTACATATATATCTTCAGATGAATAGATGTCTGACCATAAACATGATGGAGGAGCCTTTTTTATCAACACTTAGCAGTATTTGAAACTCTGCAGAGAAGAACAAAGGCTACGGACCTGTCTGCGATGTCCTCTAAAAACCTTTATCACATATTATTGTAATTTGTTTGCTAGACCTTGCGGTATAGCTTATCACAGTTAGAGAGTGTATTCTAGAATGCAGTGGTGGCTCGTTACAGATGCGATTGCGACAATACAATTGAGGGTTGTGTGAAAGTTTGGCATTTCGATGGGTCTCAATTGTGTGGAGGCTGGTTCAATTATTTGATGTTGATGACTTGTTATGTCTATCTACAAAGAATGTGTTACAATTCTACCTGTGCCCGTAGCCGGCAAAGACGAGTTCTTCACCTTCCAGTGGTGCCGGTGTAATCGCTCAGTATGCTCTGCATATCTGGGATAGCCAAGAAGAATCGCATCCGAATCGAAGTCGAAAGCAAACACATGCATATCTTCATTTGACGACTTCTCGACAATACCTCTCTCATCATTATCATTATCATCTGAGTCCTTAACCCTTCTCTAACCATGCATCATCTCGCCTCAACGACCAATAAAGAAGTTGCTCCAATTGCATACAGGAACTTGCCCCATTAATCTCCAGCCATCTCTCACTACATATTTACGACGCTACGTATACCCTCAAGGGGGAAATGAAGTCGACAAATACAAAGTTGGGGTCTTGATTTATGGGGGACTGTTGCTCTAATGGGGTTATACATCTTGAGGAAGGACAGGCGGCTGAGATGTGGAGCGGGAGGGGGAACAGATATCTGAAGACCATGCTGGGACTGACGTTTTCGAGGGATTTTCAACTTTGGACTTTTTGTGAGCGCCAAGACCAAGGTTTCGGCTAATTAGCCAGGAGGGCTTCTTTTGTCGATGAGTCAACGGCACTCCCCAGCGCCCTGGACGGTACAAAAGAAGTCGGGCTAAGCTAATATACAGTAATCACGCTCTGTCAAGACTTTTCTGACATTTCAGCACGACCTTTGGGAAGGAGTTGGAAGGAGGCTAGAAAGGCAGAGTGTGAATTCTCCGAGGTACCCACAAGTCTGCAGCGCCCAGCTGGCCGGCCTCTTCGAACTCTTCGGAAGGATCACTATGTCTTCGGATTTAGTCCTAATGTCGGTATTAGGAGAGCTCCACACCCAGTGGTTTTTTGCGAATTTTCCCGGCTGCCATACACCCGCAAATGGCCATCGCTTCGTTGGCTGGAGAGGGGAGATAATGAAGGGATAAGGGCTCATCTTAGTGTATGATCGAATGAAGACTTGTGAGGGGTGGTACTGTTTGAGGGGAGCTGTATGGAAGGCATAGGAGGGGATATACTACTGGCATAGGTATCCTTGACCTGTAGGCAGAGAGAACCTGCATTTCTATTAAATTGGGAGGGATTCTATAGCTGTATGACTGAAGATAAGACAAGGGAATTAGCACAGTGGAAGAAGGTCAGATAGAATGAGAAGCGATGGTGTTATATTCACAAGATTGAGATAGACTCAAAACTACTAAGTACAAACTTTCTCCACGCGACTGATCTGCATGTGTAGCGTTATTGACGCGACTCCTAAGTTTGACCTTAACTAATTCGGCTAGGTCTTACACCAACCAGACATACCTTGTCATTTAACAAACAATTAGTTATCCTGATTCGGCGCTTTGAAGCCCATGCAGATTTTTATCGGAAGATATGTTCTTCAAGTATTGTTGTTGTTGTGTATTGTGTTTGTGTTTATTGTACTACTTGAGTATATGACTATCTAGCACATTGGGCTCCTCTCTGACTCAGGCCACACCTTGTACAGTGCTCTTATCCTCTTTTGTTACTTGAAAGATCATTGATATACTTCCCGTAATGAATAGCCATTCAGCTCAGAGTTTACCCGTGGAATTCGGCCACCTTTTCCACGGAACCTTCTACCCAAAAAAATAAAAATGGTAGCAATGGAAACTGCTTGCGCGGGAAAGGGTCTCAAAAAACCTGCAGTCCAAGCCAGGCAAGGCCTAGATCCCAGGACCACATGAGGGGCGCATATTCATCTATATCTCCCTTCTTTGTAACAGTTGAGGTCGACTTGATCCAATCCGCCATCTCCGTATCGGGTGCTGGGTACGCTCCGGAAACTCATCGGATGGCTTTTCCTCCATGATCAAGGGTGGGTGACGAGTAGGGCTCCGACCCTACCATCTGATCTGATCGTGGTTAGCTTCATGATAATGGTGATAGGGGAATTTGTTGAGGGATGAAGACAATACAGACCGCGAAAGCGATTGGGAATCCTCATGGAAGTGAGGACTTTTTTGCTCAATCTCGGCTCTGCAGACTTTAGTGTGAGAGCCGGAGGTTCGTAGGAGACACCACTGACAGATGTTGAGAATAGTCCCCCTATGTACTTCAAGTAGGATGACTCAATCTGACGTTTAGAACACTCACACTCGGATCTCATTTGCAGATATCACTCGAGGTTAACCCTTACGGCATATAAACTCTTCCGTGCATACCCACCACAGGGAAAAGCGTGAGAACCTTATGGTTACCCGAGTGTGCATTCGTCATCCCACAAGTGCAATATCACCGCGAGAGAGTGTTGTGTGGGTCTTACCGGATTCGAACCAGCTTTCTCCAGCCTCAAATGGGCAAGGTGTTCAAGCTACCCAGTATCTACTTGGGAGAACAGCCCGAATGGTGTACCACTGCACCATCCAACCCCGCATTGGTGTATAGATTCTGCCCGTTCGCAAATTCACTCACTCTTTCTCTCTCAAGCCAATTTTGTTCCTACATCTCTACATTGGAGCTACCAGCATTCACCCCCTGCTCATGATTAATACATCATGAAATTTGATCGAATCGGCCCATTGACAAGTGACGTGAATATCAGCAAGGTAATCGTGGTAATAAATTCACATTCAAACTCACTCACTGCACATCGGGCCGCCGGGTAAATGCAAATCGGGACGTCAGCGCATAAAGTTAGCCCTATCAAATAGCGCACTCGCTTACATCTAGTGTAAGCATCCACGCACTCTACGCATACCTGTAGTTCTGAAACCAGAGTGCGCAATGACATCTTCATCCACTAGCATATCAATAGGAAGCCTTGATGCCCTTCTATATCGTCTTGAAACACTTCAAAGCATACCCGAACTATCAGATCTCGTGACATTGTATCATGATGGCGACTACAAAACCATTTTACAAACACCCGCATCCCAATCTTTAATTCAAGGATATGTGGAAAATCTAAATACTAATGAGCTGGCACACCAGATATCATTTGCGGAAGAGGAGTTGGGTGGTAAGGTGGGTCCTTTGAAAGTTTTCATCATTGGATTAGCAGCTTTCGATGCATTCCTTCAAGCGAATGTAACGGGTCCGCCGTCCGACTGGCACCAAGTTTACCCAGCGCGAGAAGAGACCAGAGCTAAATGCCTTAAGGCCCTTGAGGTTGATGGTGTCTCGATTTATCAACATATTCCTCACATTGAGCTTTTCTGCCTAGCTCGGGATATTTTTACGCACTTCTTTCCTCGGGAGATTGACCAAATTGTGACTGACTGTAAATGGATGCGCCTTCGCATTAATTCCTTTCATCAAAGAATGCTCTCTACATTTTCGGGAGGTCGATTAAGCGACTCCAATTTGTTACAGGATGAAATGGATATGCTACTAAAGGAACTAGACGAGGAGATACTCAGTTCGGACTCAGAGTTTTCGACTGGGCAAAAGATACAATACTTACTGGAAAAGGTGCAAACTTACATTATGCAGGGTCTAGAATCCAAGGCTAGGGAGGAGCTACAAAGAGCCAAGACTATTTCTGGGTTTAGACATGTACTCAGTGGGGCTTTGGGAAAAAAGACCAAATTTCAGGAGGATAATTTATCACAGTTGGTCGTATTTGCGAAGAGTAAATGCTTCGAAAAAATACAGGATCAACTCTCCTCCACTCACAATGGAGACTCAACATCAGTAGCGGTTCCTGAGGCATTTGATTTAAACGATGATACCCTCCTAGAATCAATATCATTCGTCAAATCCGGGCAGGATAAAATAGACTCGAAACTGCCCCCTGAGCTAGCAGATCTCGAACCGGATAATCAACCTAATCTGAGCCCACTAGACCAAATAACCCTCCTGACTGAGGCGACATTGAAAGACAATTTCTCACCACTAGATGCCCTAAAGAGTGAGGAAATATTACCCTATGCCACCCGAGTATTAATGGATAAGCCCACAAATTGGCAGATATACACGCAGGCGCTTATCGTCCGTTCTAGGATTGAATCACACCGTTCGCGAACAAAAGAACGTAGTATCTTGCAATTACAGGCTGTTGTGGATCAAATAATTGCTGACACTCAAGAAAATTTGGAGCCAAAAGACCCCAATGGGATTCCGGAGATACAAGTAACCTCTTTCTTGCCTAAAGCCAAATTACATGAATCAGCTCCTGTTCGGGAGCGACTAAAGTATGTTCATTCTCTAAACACCCCCTCAAGGTTTGAGCTGGAAACCGAACTAGCATATGCATGGGCAGCTGTGGGGTCGATGTTCTCGGCCCTAGAGATCTTCAAGCGTCTTCACCTGTGGGCTGAAGTGGCTCTGTGCTATCATTCGGCGTCTCAAGAAAATAAAGCACGACGAATAATTCGTCGTCAACTTTATTATTCTGTCAAGGGTGAAGTTATAGATCACTATGATATTGGAGCACCGGAAGTAGCTTCAGAAGAATGGGAGGGTGACATACGACCGTCTCCGCCCCATGCGCCGCGACTATGGTGCATCTTGGGTGATCTTGATAATGATCCTGAATGTTGGAAACGCGCGTGGGAGATAAGTAACCACCGCTATGCACGCGCCCAGCGCACTCTTGGCGAGTATTGGGTCAAGTCTGGCGACCTCGAGATGGCCAGGGAAGCATATGTTCAAGCCTCAAGTGTGAATCGCCAAAATGAGGACACATGGTCACGTCTGGGCGATCTTAATCTAAAGCTAGGGAAATGGGATGATGCAATCGCATCATTTCAATATGCTATTACGCTGGATGATAGAAATGCTACCACATATTCGAATCTTGGCTCTGCCTTGATCTCAAAACATAAGTATATTAGTGCTCTACAAAAAGCAGCCAATAAAAAGGCAGATAGTGAGCCTACAAAAGAATTGCTCAATCTAATAGAGGGAGAAGTTGAGATTAGTTGTACACACCGCCAATATCAAGATCCTAAAGTAATTCTTGAACAAGCTATGAGGGCTTTCAAGCGGGGAGCTAGCCTTGCCCACACAAACTGGCGGATGTGGGACAATGTTCTGACCGTGGCACTTAACCTGTGCCCTCCATTTTTTCCAGATGTACTATTGGCTCTTCGCAACATAGTCAGAATACGTGCACCAAGCCTAGGAGAGAACTCCGTAGATATTGATGCACTTAGTCGTTTGGTCGCTGAGGTTATAAGCCAAGAGCATGTTGCGAAACCCCATGCCTCTGTGGAAGAATTAGCCGATGATGGCATCTATACGCTACCTCGTGGCTCATTGGCTTACAATACACTCTATTTTCTCGAGACAGACGTTATTCCACTAATTACAGCGCGCGGCGAGCTGTATGAGCTGGCCGAGAAAATGGCCTTATACCGAAAAGACTTTGCCGGCGCACTTGAATTTGCAGAAAAGGCGTGGAGGAGTTGTATGCGCGGCGATGCGTGGCTATTAGAAGAGCCTCGTTGGGCTACTGTTGTTCGTAGTACAGTGCGTCTGGTTGATGGGTGGGAAAATTACGGGCCGTTACTAAAGGCCAAAGATGGCATGAATGTAGAGACGATGTGGAAGGCAAAGGCCCGTAAGGCTCTGCAGGCTGTCCTTCGGAAAGCGGTAGATACTTGGGAAGAAAGCGAAGGCTGGCAGGTTCTACAAGCAAGACTAGATGACCTCTAAAGTATCAAATCAATTCAAGTTGACATTGAGCATATCTGCAACCTGTAGTTCTGGGTTTGGATTGAGATGCCCCGTGCGTTTCCAAGGAGTCTTTTTACCGAGTGAGACCACACCTACCTAAAAAATAGGGCTACAGTGAGACTGAACTCTCCTAAAGGGCTCGACACTGGAAGGTTTGCAAACATCCAATATGATACGGGCAATCTCTAGATCGGCTTCGAGACCTGAAATCATCCCTATATCAAGCGCATCCTCAACGTAAATGCATCAATACTGACCTGATCTGTGTTCAAGAAGGTCTATTGAAGTGTTTGAACATGCTGATAAAAAAGGCTCACCTAATATTAAATGCTGCGCGGATGGCTGAAATCATGCCGGCCGCCGCTATTCCACTCATCGTATCGATTCAAGTCAAGCCCGACAAGATGCATAAGCCTTTCTGGGAGAGCTCGGCCCTTTGTCGTTGATTACGGCTAAAGGCCGGCCATGCCGAGTCGCGCGAAGGTGCGACGGGGCGCCCAGTCTCCCATATATCACTGAATGAAGTCTCTGCCATATGAAGGAGAGCTTCTCTGGGCCTGGCTGCGAGCCCGCTGCTGGTTGTGATGGAGAATGGATGATCGTGTTGGCTTCTGATGTTGGTGCGTCAGGCCTACTGAATACGGCCATAGAAAATGCGGGACCATCGATGCTTTACCAGTGATTTTTACCTTGATCCTGCCTGTTTGATGTCCCTTTGCGCCTATGATCATGACCGGACATGTTTATCTTTTTTCCACCAGGCTAGAAGTATCTATGATCCTTTCCGGCAGTAATAGCCCTGTAAATGTAAATTGGGACTCACAGTGAAAGATACCCATATCCTTTCTCTAAATACCATCTCTAGCCAACGGAACAATGACCCTTTGCGGGTCTATAGCTGTCATGTAGAGACATGATTCATTCATGAGTTGATATTTCTCAGACGATCATGACTATATCACAACGTCATGTATAGACACGATTAATCGTTTGTACCTGTTGTATCAACCATGACTATGTCTTAGTGATAGGAGAAACATCATTGACTAGTTACTAGAAAGCTAGTCGGGATCCTAAACACAAAACTGAGACTAGGAGAATTTTACAGAGTAAGTAATTATTCTGATGAATCTAGATCTAGAGGAACATAATCTGGTTGCTTGGCTCGAGATATATGAGCCTGAGCATATCATGTATTATAAACTATATAGAAATCTATCTTAATCACAATCATCATCTTAATTCATATCACCATCAATAGCTGCAAAGGACAGTTTAACCATTTCCTTATAATAGCTGCAAGGGAAAGTCTCAATAGCCACTAGTTGTAGGGCTCTCCTACCACCAACACCGGGACTAAATCCCAAGATATAGCTACTATTTTGAGATATTGGAACAGAACCACTTGGGTACCATAGATATACGTACATCTAAGATCACTACTCTCTGCCTTTCTGACCTGCATTGTATCTATCTTTTTTATCATTAAAGTCTGGACAGTTATCTGCCTATGCCTTATCATCAGTGTAATATGAACATGTCCAACGACTCTTTGGATTTCAGAGACACTCACCCTCTAAATACCACTTGAGGTCTCTTCTCAACACCTAACAGTAGAGTCTGCAGAGTCGAGATTGAGTAACAAAGTCCTCACCTCGATGAGGATTCTCAATCGCTTTCACGGTCTGTATCGTCTTTATATGTCAACAAATGCCCCTCTATAAATTATCATGAACCTAACTACCATTAGAACAGATGGTAGGATTAGAGCCTTACTCATCATCAATCCTTGATCATGAAAGAAAAGCCATCCGATGAATTTCCGGAGTGTACCCAGCACCCGATATGGAGATGATGGATTGGATCAAGTTGGTCTTAATTGTTGCAAAGAAGTGAGATATAGATGGATATGTGCACTTCATGTAGTCTCGGTGTCTAAACCTCGCCGGGATGGGGCTACAAGTTTTTTGAGACTTATTCCCGCAGACGTAGTTTCTATTGCTACCCTTTTTTCTGGAAAGAAGTTTCCGTGCAAAATCTGGCTGAATTCCACGGGTAAATGCTGAGTTAAATGACTATCCATCACGGGAAATATACAAACCATCTTTGAAGTAACAAAAGAGGATAGGAGCACTATGATAGATGTAGCCTGGGCCAGAGAGGAGCCCAATGTGCTGGATAGACATGGACTCAGGTAGCACATAAACAACACCCTAAATTTCACTTGCTGATACCACAATGAGGTACATCTTTTAAGAACCAACAGTCGACATTCGATATTCGTCCTTGAATACCTGCTCAAGGGAAGCATCAAACCCTTTGGTTTTTTTAGCGTTTTTTGGCCGTCTTGTACAATTGCATCGCGAGAAATATGATGGAGTTTTGACGTGTTTGATGTATAAGCAATCCAGTTTATACTTGTTGGAAATTGTGGTTATTTAGAGACAATCATATCACCTACTAAGTAGCAGTAGTGTTTGGATCCCTCTGATTGGTCAGAAGTGTTGGCCCTCATGCACAGGTGTTGATCGCATTAGGGCCTTGGCATCAACATAGGGTAACTCTCACTACATAGGTTAAGTATAGAGAATAGAAACAACTAACCCCTCTGAAATTTAGAACCTATTGTGCTAGCACATTTCATACCCGTGATATACCGACAATGCTTGAGAGCCATCCCACATGATTTATTACTCCTTTATCTAGCTATTAAGGTGTCTTTAGTGTCGTGTAGTCTCTTGCAGACTAAGTCGTCAAACGTACAATACTCTCAAAACCGAAAACCCCAATCTCAAAAATCAAAATCTCATTTCTTCCAACATTGTATTCATCCCCAGCTTGGCCTCTCTCTGCATATCTAGACCTCGCTCATGTCCATCTCAAAGACTTGCCTGCCATATCCGTGACCTGCTGTGGGTATTCGTTCTGTCTTGAGCCTGTGTATTGAGGCTAGCTGATGCCAGAGACTGAGATGACGGGGGGTGTCATCATTGTAATGAGGATTCACTGATTCGTACCCGTAAATTTGATGAGCCTTTGTCGGTTCGGCCTATTTGACAGAGAAGTTGGGAGCGAAGTGGTAGACTTGAATCATTGTTACCGGGATCTGTAGGTATGCTACGAAGTGAGAAGTTATCTGGCTCTATTAAACACCCTTGGGCTACCAATAAGAGTTTAGCGTAAGCGATATTATTTCTCTAAAGGCTAGCGCTAGCACCCCCTCTGGGCCACCATCAGTACTACAATTAATACTATTATTATGAAGACTTCGTGAAACACCTAGCAGATACCATCCTCCTTTGGGCCGAACACCCGTTACATTTAAAATATCAAATCAAATCAGCCCCTCTGACCTACATCCCACAGTTGAAAGCAGACTCAATCGATAACCAACCCTTGCAATCTTAATACTCTTATTTCGTACCGCTTCTACAAACCTCAATGTCTAAATCAAGGCCTGCTATCGAGCAAGTTGTTAAATTAATTGTAGGCGCCGGTCAGGCAACTCCTGGCCCCCCCGTTGGTCAGGCGTTGGGGAGCAAAGGAGTCAAGTCCATGGACTTTTGCAAGGTTATTCATTCTGATCAAAGTTACTGCCAATCACACCGAGCATTTGCTAACCTTCTAACTTCAGGAGTTCAATGCGCGAACTGCCAACTACGTGCTCGGAACTCCCATGCCCGTCCGGGTAACTGTCCGACCCGACCGGAGCTTCCATTTCGAGATTCGTACACCTGCGACCTCCTACCTCCTACTCAAAGCCTCGGGTGTTGAGCTGAGTAAAGGTAAGCTCAAAGGGAAGGGAGGCAATGAAATTGTAGGCTCTATCAGCCTTAAGCATGTGTATGAGATAGCAAAAATCAAGCAAAGCGAGTTACGACTCAGTGGACTAAGTCTCGAAGGCATATGTCGATGTGTAATCGGGCAGGCTAAGTCTGTTGGAGTAGAAATCAAACATTGAGAAGAAAATACAGGGAAAATTTGACACTTAATAATGAACTTGTTCGACGATGCCAAACTACACTCCATCTAAGCACACACCCCAAACACCCTCAAGGGATCATCAATCTACATACATATCACGCAGTTCACCTTATGTCTAAATCTGTCGAATCACTCTATAAATAGGCAATACGCACTCCACATAGACACAATTCTATCGGGCCGTTATCTCGCATGCCAGGCCTAATCAATCGAGGCCACAGCTAATTATCCATCGCTGGACGTGGAACTCCGGTATTTTCTTCAAGAAATCGCGAGGCTACACCTTGGTATAAAAAAGTTGGTGCACGTTACATTGTATTAATAAGTAATAAGAAGGATATGTTCCCTGTAAACCACCAACACTTCTAATGTAACGTGAAACACATTTTAGGCTGGTTTTATAGGCCTTAGTCTTCTCGTTACGGGCAGCTTATTAACATAAATTTGAGATAAAATAAGAATAATCAAGGATTGCTTTTTGCGGCAAACAATTCTGGAGTAGTTCAGCATTTAAAGTAAATCATTCACATCATGACATACAAAAGCACCCATTCCATGTGCAAACGGTACCACTTATCAGAGCGATTTTGTGCATTTACCCCCTTTTAATACACTAATATCCATCCCTATAAAAGGCTTCTCATGCGATAATTTTTCAATCACTTTAACCTCACAGCTATTGAGGGCGGGATATCAGCTCCTTCGGTTAGACGCTTAAGCAGTATCCCGGTTTAGCATTAGTATAAGGGCCAGGATGTTACTCGTTGGGCAAAATGTCACAATTGTAATCCCCGTAAAGGACCGAGACAATGATCATGGAAATATATTAATATCCAAAATTCTTAGATCTCATTTGATCAAATTTTTACCCCTCTGGTCCATGGAATTTCCTTTCAAAAAATGGCCGTCTTTCTCTTACGCAATGGGCGCAAAGGAAGACGAATTTTAAATACCTTCATGCTGTGTCGAGTACGAGTCAGAGTAAAATATTATTCCCAAGCCATGTTCCTTCCACTTTGATAATAGAACAGGAACTGGCCCACGAGGCAAAATTTCGAATTACTCCACCACGTCAAATTTTCACTCCCAACGAGTTTGACTTCTACCCAAGTCTACGAGTACGACCAAGTACAACCTAATTCCAATGACCACACCTCTCGTCGACTTTCTCTGGCCTCAGCTGGTCGCCAAATACCCGCCCACGCCGATATTTGCACTCGAGGGAGGGAGCAAAGCGTGGCGACCAAATCTGGGAGACAGTTCTTTTGGATGAGCGTGTGAGGATTCAGGACAAGTTCACAGGATGATGCAGAGGATGGATACAGTCTCTACGAGCGTGGAATTTTGACAGGGAGTTTTCACGAATTGAGCTTTGTGCGTGCCATAGCTTCGGTTGCGAGAGTGCAGGCGACACTATAAACACCGTCATAGTTGGATGGTATGGTGGTACATCGTCTTGGCCGGTCTGCCAAGTAGAGTCTGGATAGCTTGGACACATATCCCACTCGAGACAGTAGATCGCTGGTTCAAATCCGGCAAAACACAACCACATTTCTCGCGGCGCTGGTATGCATGGATGACGAAGGCATGCTTGGATAACCAAAGATTTCGAAATTCCCTTTGGTGGGTACTTACGGAGATGGGTCGACTATTTGTGTGAGCAAGCATACCTCAAAGTGGTATTTGCGAATGAAATCCAGAGTATGAGTGTCCCTAACGTCAAAAGAGTCATCCCGTTTGTATACATAGCACCGGTCATGTGTCATGGCTAGATAGCTGAATACACATTAAATGATTAAAAAATAAAAGAAGTGAAACTGAGTATAGAATTTGCAGTCATGTGTCTATCAACAGCGTGGCCTACTTGATATCTCCAACTATCCTGAATTCTAACATAAATAAATTTAGTAGTTCTGTTGTGTTATCCATGCAACCTATCAAGGCAAGATAGCTCTGCGGTCTCTGTCCAATAAAAGTGGTGTTTGGGATGTCCAAAAGGCCTATAGTAAAACAGTACAAATAGTAAAAAACAATTTTTTCAAGACCAAGTTGAAGTGGGCCCGCACGGCTAAGGAGATATTTGGAGTAACCAAGTTGCATAAATCTGCGGGAACTTATCGTTCAACCCGCTTAAAGACTCCTGCTTCTCAGAACAACCTCTAGTCCAGAGTCTTGCCGGGAAAATGGAGGTTCTTACAAAAATTCTGCTTGCAAACCCCTCAGTGGTTGGAACATCCCTATGGATTCTCCAACAGTTTCTTCAACCTCACTACCCTTCCCATCCCCTACCGTTGAGGAAATCCGAGACTCCATCTTACATGCTGGCAACACCGCTCCTGGTGCAGACGGAATACCCATGCCCATTATCCGGCGCGCGTGGCCTTTGATTGAACAACAAGTCCTATCTCTGTTTAACGCGTAAATTTCGATTGGGCACCATCCTGAGTGCTTCTAGAAGGCCATTTTAGTGATGATAAAAAAGCTAAACAAGACAGACTTCTCTTTGCCCCGATCTTACCGCCTAATTGCACTACTTTCTGTATTTGACAAAGGATTAGAGAGATTTATTGCAAAAAGAATGGCTTGGACTGCTATCCGGCATAAGGTGGTATCGAGCCAACAATTCGGCGCTCACCCAGGCAGATCGGCTGCTGATCTAACTACCTGCCTTACCTACGATGTAGAGAAGACACTTCACGAGGGTTCTACAGCCAGTATGCCCACCTTAGATGTCAAGGTAGCCTTCGACGCCGTATATCCGGGACGACTTGTCCGCCATCTACGAGAGCAAGGTTGGCCTGAAAACCTGGTACGCTGGGTAGGATCCTTTGTCTCATGCCGTACGCTGTGCGTCTATCTCGATGAAGTAACAGGCCCCCCACAACATGTGGACTGCTGTCTTCCACAAGGCTCACCTGCCTCGCCCATCCTATTCATGCTCTACATTTTCCCGCTCTTCAAGATGGGAATAAAGTGGAAAAGATTCAGCTATGCAGATGATATTGCTCTCCTTAAGACGGGGCCTAACTTCCTGAGTAACTGCACAGCTCTCTCTCACTCGCTGGCGAAAGTAATAGAATGAGGGGAAAGGGAAGGCATTACTTTCGACCCAGAAAAATCAGAGCAACAACATTTCCCTCAAAAACGGGCTGACTGCGACCCTTTTTCAACCCCTTCCGTCTCCCACAGAGATATAAGGGTCTCTGAAGATCCAATTAAACCCCACACGCGCTGGCTAGGGGTCCACTTTGATCGAACTCTCTTATTTAAATGGCATGTCAGTATACTAGCTGAGAAGGCTTTTAAAGTTGCCAACTTACTCCGTTCTCTCAGCAACACGGTCAGAGGAGCGCCCCCCAACTTATCCGACAAGCTATCTTAGCTTGCACACTTCCAATAGCCTACCATGGCGCAGAGACCTGATGGCCAGGCCGCACCAGATACAGCAATAAACTCATCTCGAATCGAGTCGAAGGACACCTATCCACCTTCCGCAAAGTTGTTCAAACGGGGGCCAGAGCTATCCTGCCTGTATATCGGACTACGCCAATCTCTATTCTATACCGCGAATCAGGTCTCCTCCCTCCTGATTTAGAGCTAGACTCTAAATCAAAATTCGCGGCACTCCGCATCCAACGCCTGAACCCTAGACACCCACTATGGCAAAGAGCCATATAGATCCGGGCACACAAAATCGATGAGTCTTCCGTCTTACGGGCTGGGCTCTCCAAATTCCAAATGCCGAACACTGAAACGAACGACCCTCTGATTTAGCCGCCATGGCTCAAGAGTGAGACACGGTATAAAAGTGTAAGGCGAGTTACGCACCCTCCCATTAATCTCCCTTCTGGCATCTGTCAAGGGGAACTATTTCACCTACTCATGTAAACTAAGCTATTCAGGTCACATGACCTGACTATCAGTACATAGACTTCATCTGCAGCATTACGTCTATCAAGTCAACATTTACAACGTAATACCGTGGCCCACGTATCTTTCTTAAGAGCATCTCTTTTAGAGATTTAGTAATCTATACAGATGGCGCTCGATCTGAGATAGCAGAATTGCCCAGGACAGGCGTTGGAATCGTTGTCTTTCAAGCTGGCCAGATGGTATACCGCGAAAGTCTGTCCCTTGCCTCAACGCTGTCACCTTTCGAGACAGAAGTGACCCCCGTGAAAAAAGCCCTCAAAGCTGCGCTTTCCCTACCAACAGCACGCTTCTCAGAAAATATTTGAATACTCACAGATAACCTAGAGGTAGCTCGCCTTTTATTTCAGTCCCCAATTTGCTCGTCGCAAATTATTTTTGAATAAATACAGGCCCTCTCCAAAGACTGGCCTCTTAGCACCCGGCTTCCACACATCCCTCCCGGGAAAGTCAAGGCTTATTGGATCCCAAGCCACTCTAGCATATTGGGTAACGATTTGGCCGAAGCCTCTGCCCGCGAGGAGCTTTCAACCCCCCCGACTATACCTCGTGGGTAAGTTTCTTTTGATTCCGCGAAAACCCGCATCAAAGCAGAAGTATCGACGGCTATGAAAGATTACTGAGACCGACATGCCCCAGTTCCATATATGGAGCTTTCCATCGACTCATACTCTCGTCACCCCAAGGAACTCTCACTAGCCAGATCATTTCTCTCTAGACTATACACTGCCCGCTCAGGACATGGTCACTTTGCAGAATACCACCGCCGTTCCAATCACGAGGGTGCTAACCTTCATTGTGGCTGCGGAAAGCTCAAAGCCCCATTTCAATTCCTAGAGTGCCACCTCACCACCCGTAGACCCCCTCGAGCTCCAGCATCTTTAAGGGATCCAAAAAATTTTTTGCTAGGAACCTGGGAAGTGGTCCTACGTGTAGCAAAGTGGCTTTCTCTTTCTGAGTTTTATATAAGGACCTGCCCTAGAAATCTCAGAGAAGAAATAAATAGGTCTTAAACTCTGCCTCAACTTTGAGCCTTGCATTATAGATGGATAGTGCGGTATTCCTGAATGAATCTATTAGTAGCATCCCGAGAGTGGTTGTAATACATCATAGGAGTAAAGAGCCTTGGCGACTAGCTGTAAAGGTGTAGGTGCTACGCTTTACGCAATCATGTAATTAGAGAATTGCCTTGCAAACCTAGTTAGGAAGAAACAAGGGCAAAGCCGCCAGGGCAGTAAGCACTGACGTCTATCCCTCTAGTTATTTTCGTGGGTAGTAGGGACCTAAGCCAAGCTTGGCGCCCCGACGGACGAAAAATAGAAAACCAACAAAAAAATAAGTCTTATTTGGATATGCATAAATGTTCGGATTAGGTCCTGGTCAACGATGTCTAGCCTAATTGTGCTTTGTTGCAGGCTACTGTTCCAATTATTTATGGGGTCATCATTAGGGTTGTGAGTAGTTTCGGTTTTGGTGTGAGTTGTTAGATTGATACCTGAGCGTGTCGCATAGTAGTCAGACATGCGACTCGAGTAGCATATGCACGGTAAACCTCAACTCCAAAATGATGATACAAATCAAGTTTTATATGCTACGTCCTGTATGGCTAGCGTGATTGGAATATGGGAAATTTACCTGTAGATAGATAAAGACGTTGTAGCCCTCTGATAGTTGGGACAAGTCTTCTACAATATTATATCGGAATCAAATCTAGCCACTCATTTAGCAATCTCATGAATTATTTCCAATGTCTGTGATAACAGACATACATATACAATATCAACAACAAGTTTTAATGTCGATAAATGATGATGATGATGATGTTATAACAATTGGGTTATTATTAGTAATAGCAATATAAGGAGATATCATGTGACGAGTGTTCAAGGTCATGAAGACCCTGGCACTCCCTCACAAATGGAGATAGATACAAATGAGTAAAAATATTGTTATTGAGTTACCTCAAACAAAGAATCCATAGGAAATATTCCGACAATATCCATTTTGACTTTAGAAACATTCGTATTCTGAATGTTATCTGCAAATACTACTATGGAGTATATTTTCCGACACAAAAAGCCGACCCTCTTCCGAGTACTAACCAAAAGCAAAAGCAAAAGAAATTTCACATTCTTTGTCTATCAATGCGTGCCTTCGTGATCCATGCACACGAGTACCACAAGACATATAGTGTAATTTTGCCGGATTCGAATCGGTGGTCTCCTGTGTCAAGTAGGCTATATGCCCAAGGAATCTAGACTCTGTTTGGCAGACCGGCTCTGAAGATTTTCCATTGCACCATCCAGCTATTATGACGTTGGAGTGTTGCCTGCACTCTCGCGAGCGAATTAGTATGGAGCACAATGGTCAATTAGATTTTTTTTCCATAATTCGAAGTTTTCCCTCTTCCAAAATTTAATCTATCCTCAGCATCACTTTGCCTATTTGTCCCACGATATCTCACTTTATCTCCAAGACCTGTCTTCTAGATTTGTGCGCGACGATTTAGGTCCCCCGGCGGATATAAATATAGGTGTGGGCGTATAAATAGTGGTTAGCTGAGGCCAGAGAACGAGACCATGATAATGTGATCATTGGGAGGAGCATGGTCTTGGTTGTAATTTGGGAATAGAGAGTATTTGGTCAGGTTTGATCATATTAGGAGTAGAAAATTGATGTGGTAACGAGTCTTGGATCATTGCTTCATGGTCCATCTATTTCGGTGTCGCGAAATTTGAATGAACTTGGATCTGAAGGAATTCTTCACTCCCAGGTTCGTAGAGCACATCGGGAACAGGTAAGTAATGTTTGTCCTCCGCAAATGGCCGTTGTTTCACTGATTTGAATGGAGAAACAAAAACTTGAGAACGTGTTCACCAAGTTAGTATCTGAATGAAGGCCTGTGAGAGTGTTTCCGTTGAATAAAAATAACGAGGAAGGCAAAATGGGGAAATATACTATCCGAGCCATGGATACTCCCGGCCTCTGGGAAATATTGCCCACAGGCCTTGGATATTCATAGACTCAAGAGGTCATCATCCAAATAACAAATAAAATGATTGTGGTAAAACTGAGGCTTTGTGATCAGCTAGCTTTCTATTGACAGTTTCGTCGATTAGTTAATTTCGCGTTAGCTTATACTTTATCCGATTATACGTTCGTATTTGGTTAGCTGTAATTCCAAAATGCTACGCCTTACGCCCTTATGTGCCTGGATTAGGGGTCCCGCAGATCACTGAACCGGATGTAAGTCTCTCTATATTGCTTCGGCAGATCGCCCAGGAATTGAACGTGAGAGATGCAGGTGGGGAGGCTCATGATCAATTGGATGCTTGTCAATTCTAGCGTACGAAAAGTTAAGAAAATTCTCATATCAGTTTCTCTTAGCGTCTCTGCCTGATTAACTTCTTGATGGATCGTGTGAGAGCACTATCAGAAGGGGGTAATTAAGTATCTGTGCACCCGCAGGTATGGGCTAGTCTTAAGCTATAGTTGTTGTTTGGTGGCCTTGTGATCAGTTCACAAACCGATTTAACCACAACTCACCTCTTGCTTCACGATCATAGGACTACAAGGTTTCTGCTCTGAATATCTTAGGGACCAGTATGGCCTCCAAACCCTTCCGAGATATCAACGTTCATGCCTCTTCTTCACATTACGCTTTTACATCCCCATCTTCACCCTCTTCGCCCACATTAGTGATAGAAAGATCATCAGGAAATATTCGCCTTAACGATGGCTTGTTATCAGGTGGAAAGAGAATCTCAAGTATAGCTGGAATCTTAGGAATAATTAAGCTACGCTTAGTTAAGTATATTAAATGAATAACATCAGCTCTAGCTAATAGTTACGTAGATAAGTATATCATTGTCATTACCAAAGCACAGCCAGTTGGTAGATTGAAAGGTCACACAATCTACAAAGTGATTGCTTGCGAATTTCTCCCACTACGTGATAGGCCTCTTCATGATCACGATGAAGATACATATCTTACCCTTCTCAAGACATTTATTAAGTCTGGGCCAATTTATTTTTCCTATTCCCTAGACTTGACAAATTCATTTCAACGGCAGTCGCAGCAGGACTCGTCGGCTCCACTCTGGAAGCGCGCAGATGACCGTTTTTTCTGGAACAAATTCATACAGACCGACCTAATCGAATTTAGCAATTCTGGCTCTCGACAAAACTCTGGGAAGCAGCCCGGTGTTGACCCTTTTATACTACCTGTCATATATGGAATGCTTGAATTATGTCCGGCACAGATCAAAGGAAGGTCTTTTACCTTTGGTCTCATCACCCGTCGAGCAAGGCATAGGGCTGGTACCAGGTACTTTTCCAGGGGTATGGACGAGCAAGGAAACACCTCCAATTACAATGAAACAGAACAGATTTTGATCCTAAATGACAACGCATCCGGCCTAGGTGGTTTTGGTGGTAATGAGCAAAACCTAAAAGAAAAAGTCCGAGGTTCCCATCAAGAATCTCAAATCCTATGCTATGTCCAGACAAGAGGTAGCGTTCCCCTTTATTGGGCAGAAGTTAATACCCTTCAATACGTTCCCCGGCTACAGATTCGTGGAGTTGAGAACGCACTAAATTCTGCACAAGCTCACTTTGACGAACAGATTAAAATTTACGGTGACGTTCACATCGTGAATCTGGTCGGCAAAAAAGGTAGGGAGCAAAGAATCAAGGAAGCATATGAGCAATTGGTAAAGTTGATTAGCTCCGATCCTCCTGACGGTAAAGGAAAGTCTAGTCTCAACGGCGTAAAATTTGGAGACACGGAATCTAGTTCTCGTTTGAAGTCAAGAGATCATATTCACTACAATTATTTTGACTTCCATGGAGAAACTAAAGGATCTAATCTACACCGGATACAAATTCTGCTAGATCAGCTTGGTGATGTACTGGAATTACAAAAATACTTTTGTGGGGTTGACATGCCAGGTGATGTAGACCGTCTTGAGGTGCGGAGCCAGCAAAATTCTGTCTTTAGGACAAACTGTATGGACTGTCTTGATAGAACAAATGTCGTTCAGAGCATCTTAGCGCGTTACACTCTTAACTGTCAGCTCATTGACGCCGGTATTCTCAGTCCTGGAGAGAAATTCGAGTCTGACGACAATTTTGAATTCATGTTTCGCAAAGTTTGGGCTGATAACGCTGATACTGTCTCCAAATCTTACTCGGGAACAGGGGCTTTGAAAACTGATCTCACACGATTAGGGAAACGGACCAAAAGCGGGGCTTTACAGGATCTGCAGAATTCAATATCGAGATACATTAAAAATAATTTTCTTGACGGCCCCAAACAAGACGCTTTTGATCTATTTTTAGGTAGATACCACCCGAAGACTGGATCTTGTCCTATCTTCATGGACAAACGACCACTCGTCATCCAGTCTATTCCATACGTACTTGCGTTCAGTATTTTCTTCGTACTTATTGGAACCTTCACACCTCGTCTTCCTGACTCGGCGATCCTCCCTGTGAAGTTATTTATTTTATTTTGGTCTGTCGTCGGAGCATGGTCCATAAATTTTATTTACAGCAACGGCATGCTTTATGTAAGTTTCTTTTCAATGTTCAACGACAACGCTAATTCGTAATAGGTTAATTGGCCCAAGTTATGCCCAACCCCATGGGCAAATGATGGTTATCAGGAAACCTCTAGTAAAATACGGAAAGACAAAATAATTGGACCTTTCGTAACTAGACATGAACGAGGTCTAAGTGTAGCAAGATACTCTAATGCCGAAGAGGGAAAAAAGCGGATTGAGTAAGACAGAATCAAAGATTAGTATCAACATGTATTGTAGATTTCAGGGAGCCCAAACGTGTAAATTTATTGCGTACTGTTTAATAGGCAATCATTATTGATTTTTTAATTTGATCATGACATAATAGAGATGAGACGTACTCTCTGTAGTAATAAACGTATTTCCGTCAACGAAAATAGGCCGCTGACTCGACAAGCTAAAATACTACTATTTTAAAGAATGCGGGTCATCCCGAAGACCGTCATATCTCTCAAGCCAAGATTAAAGCACTTCACCATTCGCACATGCCGGCAAAGCCGAATTCTTCACCTTCCAGCGGTGCCGGTGTAATCGCTCAGTATGCTCTGCATATCTGGGATAGCTGTGATTCCTAAAAGTAGCAGGCTACGTTATGTAACATAGACTACCAAATGCGGTTAACCTATAATTAGTAAGCTACGCACAAAGTATAGATTTCGGAGTTCGGAGTTAGGAGGAGACATGGACAAATTTAATAGAACTCAAGCTTAACTATTGCATTCTGCGGAACTAACAGTAGTAAAGCCACGAGTTATATTTGTCACCATCCTGTTTCAATTGTGATTGATTGAAACCCACATAGCCAAGAAGAACCCAATCCGAATCGAAGTCGAAAGCAATCTCAAGCATATCTCCATTTGACGACTTCTCGACAATACCTCTCTTATGATTCTCATCTGAGTCCTCAACCTCTTTCTAACCACGGATCATCTTGCCTCAACGACCAATAAAGAAGTTGCTCCAATTGCATACAGGAGCTTGCCCCATTAATCTCCAGCCATCTCTCATTACATATTTACCACGCTACGTATACCCGCAAGGAGGAAATCAAGTCGACAAATACAAAGCCTGGGTCTTGGCTTATGGGGGACTGTTGCTCTAATGGAACAAACAACTTGAGTAAGAACAGGCAGCTGAGGTGTGGAGCGATAGGGGGAACAGGTCTCTGAAGAGCATACTGGGACGCACATTTTTTGAGTATTTTCGACTTACGAGTGTCTGTGGGCGCAGAAGCAACGATTTCGGACCGTGCAACCGACACTAAAAACAGGCAACGATGGAAGGAGTTTTGGGCCGCCTCCTGGTCCTCATCTCCCGGGATTGAAGTCTGGATAGCCTGGACACCCATCACTCGAGAAAGGGAGGACTATGGGGCAATATCTCGCGCGGGGGCTACAGACAGGATGGCGGGTTGAATGGTGCAGTGGTACACCATTCGGGCCGTTCTCCCAAGTAGATACTGGGTAGCTTGAACACCTACCCCATGTGAGACAGGAGAAAGCTGGTTCGAGTCCAGTGAGACCCACATACCACACTCTCTCGCGGTGATATTATACTTGTGGGATGATGAAAGCACACTCGGATAACTATAGGTTTTTCGCGCTTTTCACTGTGGTGGGTATGCACCGAAGAGGTCATACGCCATAAAGATTGACCTCGAGTGGTGTCTGCAAATGAAATCTGTGTGCGAGCGTTCCAAAGGTCAAATTGATTCATCTTAATTAAAGTACTTCCGATAAAAAACTGCATAGGCCTCATGGCGCCAAATCAGGATAATGAATGATTTATTTATTTTGAATTTGATTTCATTATCCTGATTTGGCGCCGTATGGGCCCATGCAGATGACTACAGTCTATAATATTTACCCGGGAGGAAACCTTTATGATGAAAACCTCCCACACCTTTCTATTTGTTGTCTATAGTTCGCACATATTTTCTTCAGGAAGCGCAGTTACACTATAGTGCCATCCATGTAAACTAACCAGATCATATCTATCCGCCCCAAGCATTATTTGACCTCGTCTTTTCCCTCAGCAGTCTTTCGACCGCTTTTGTCATCTGGAATTGCTCTATCCAACCATGGTTTAGGATCCACTGTGTTATCCTTTTGTTGGAAAATATACTCTGTAAAGTGTTATATGGATAAATGTGATGAAGTAAAGAAGACTTGATATTTTAAAACTATGGGAACATTGGACTTATATATACATCTTAGGAGAGAAATTCCCACTAGTCTCGTGTGCCTGTCAAACCTAGTGATGACCAGCCACCTCTCATCTACCATGATGAGCCAAGGTATACTGTAGTACGTAAATATCCAAACGTATAGGCGACAGTAAGCGCGATAAGCGCACTCTTGACATATGTAGAGAGAGTCGATCTTGTCAGGAACCTGAGACGAAACAGGTAGTGGTTGAGTCCTAAATTCGAGAGTCAGAATTTCCAACACCTTTTTATATTTCCAGGATTGTTTATCATCGCTTCGTAGGATCGATCTTTGGCTTGTCTCCAGATCTCAGCTCCACCATTTGACCACCAGGGGCAGGACATAATCATATGCTTGGGGTTCTGTGATTGATAGCCGCATGGACAACCTGGACTTAATACTCCGGTTACGTTTCTTCTGTGTAAATACGAGTTAGACCCCTTGTGCTCACTTCGTATTTGCATTGCCAAACTGCTTTGGGCCCTTGTCAGGTTACGGCGTAGGAAGAATGGTGAGCCTTGAAAACTCAGTTTTTGCCATCTAGACTCTCTACTTTGGTAAAAAGTGGCCGCTCTCCAAGTTTCGGAATCTGCAGTTGCTAACTGCCGAGGCTTCTGAGTTTTTTCTGCTTGGCCCAGGAATTTGCCAACTCTTGATATGCCATAACTTTCACTATCTCTGTATGTGTCTTCTTGGTTTGTTGTTCACCGCACATTCCCATCCAGTTGGCAAGATCTATCCTCCTGTTAACTGTTCGTATATCTTCTCTTCCTTTACTGGGCAGCTTGATTTTATTACAGGTGGACTGTATTGTCTTCTGGATAGGTAAGTCCTTTGTGCGACCTAAATATTGAAGCCTTTGTTGCTTCAAGATTATTTCGATCGGAAGGGTGGCTGTTTCGTGTTCCAGCACTCTCGTGCTCGTGGACTTGTATGCCCTGGTGACAATTTTAAGACAATTCCTCTGTATGCTTCTGATAGGTCTTACTATCCTCTCTGGTATTTTTCCACCCGGCCCGACCTCAGCCCAAACCAGTGACCCGTATGTTAGTGCCGGCCTCACAATCGTGCTGTAGAGTATCTTTGGCTTGTGAAATGTGGTTCCCCACGTTGACTGAGCTAGCCTACTGAGACTCTGAACCTGGATCTTTGCCTTCAGTTGAAGGTGCTAAGGTTATGAGTTAAATGGGAACATAGTTACTTGGAATGTGTAACGATATTTGTTCAGATGGTATGATACTTGGTAATGTGATTGCTGGCAGGTGTCCAATACTTTTCCGATACTATTCATGAGACAGAACAAAGACTACTTGTTCAAAGTCATGCAATAAATCTGTAATTGCATCACGTGTCTCGCTTAGTATTCCACACTTTCCGTAATTGTGAAGTTTGTAGATAATTGTAAGAATAAGTAAATAAGCACCAATAGTTGTAGTTATAATACACACAATAAATTATATATATAATTATATTATAAGGAATCTGATTTCGAGAGCAAGTATCCACACGCAGCTAAATATATAGCTGGTATGCAGTATACTCTTAACTCCACTGTTGAATAAATTACAACACTACCTATATACTCTAATATGACCCATGTCATTGTCTACGTTCTCTCTCCTGACTTACTGCCAACAGCGTGCCTAGGTAAAACTCTGCAGCTCATGAGTCCATCTCTCATGAGAGGCATCCGCTGTTCCGGTGGCTGGCGTGCGCGGTCCGAGTACGCGTCGCTGCAATGCCTCAATCACTTACGTGTAATATCCCAGCTGTACATCTTTAATAGTCGTAGACTCAAATTAGATGTAAATATAAAAAAAAAAAAAAATATCCCAGCTGAGCGATCCTGAACCTAGCTGTTCAGGAACGACGGCAATCCAGTCCATGGTTCGCGCCTGTGGTTTGTATGCACACCACAGCGTCGCTCCAATCGTTCCCATACAATGTCTCAGTTGCGCAGTCCTTAGTCCATTACTCAGGAGCGGAAGCAGTTGTATAGTTCCGATAGTGCGCTAGGTCTGCATGTACCTCTGAGTGCTATCCCGTAATTGTACGGCAATATCTAACCGCTCATGGCTAGCGTACGTGGTCAGTAGACTCTTCACGTCGCTACCCCAGTTGTTGCCCTGCAATGACTCAACCCAGTGCTACCAAGTCCGAGACTCAGAAGCAGCAGCAGTTGTGTCCATGGTCAACGCACGACGTGCATATGCACCTGTTGGTGCAGAGCCTGTGTATCCAGGTCAGGTGATGCCCTGACATATCATGGCCGTTTACTTAGGCAGACTTGTATTAGCGTATTTGTATTATTAAGTGTCACAGTTCGAGGTATAGATGCTGGGGCAATCAAATATACGAAGGTTGTTTATTATTTTCTATACCACAATATGTGTGTCCTAACTCAACTATTTATACACTTATTAGGCTATCTAGAATATTCCTTCCTGTCTGATACTAGCCTCTGTTATGTTTCCCTGATACCAGTTCACAGTCTCGATGCCAGTTGCTAGAATCCTCAAGTCATGTTCAGAATAAACTAGAGTGAAGTTTCGCCTTTAACAGAATTGTTGAGGCACGTGATTGACATCACGTGATACAGGACAATTATCGACTCACTAGCTGTTACATTAAGGAGTTTTTGGATAGGGAATTGAAAACCAACTTACACCCAGACTTTACGACTTGACAGGCATTCTGTGATACAGATTACAGGCGTGCTTTGAGTTCGAAGTCAAGGGTGTTATTCCGAAAGCACAAATAGCTATTTGCGCAGGTAGCTCAACTACCATTTTTCGCAAATTCATTTTCAAAAAAAAATGGCGCCACCAAAAACCCGCTCGGCCTCATCCAGCAACGAGAACTCTGAACTCGAAGGGAAGTCAAACAACAAACCTACACTGTCAGATATCCTCGCTGAAATTCGCAAGCTCAATGTCAAGCAAACAAGTCATGATGCTGAGTTAGCAGAACTAAGTGTTAGATTTTCGGAATTAGAGG